GCTGCTGTTAAAATAAAATATTATGCTTCAATATCAAATCGTTCATTTATTTATATATACTAAAAAAATATGTTTTGTTTTTATAAAAATAAGGCGTTTTTTAGCAGAAAAATCATTTTTTTCTTGAAGTATGATTTCTAGGGAAAAGCAAAACGACTTTTTTCGTAAAAAGATTTATTTTGAAAAAATCAAACTCAAAATTTCGAAAAAAAATTACAGATTCGGATTCTTCGACTTCGAAGATCTTCGGCCAAACTTTATACACAGTGATAATCTTCCTTCCCTATTCCTGTAAGGAAAGCCGATCACGCTTACATGAGCCTGACGTGCACACCCCTAATAACTTATAAAAGTATCCTTTATCTTTATTTTTCAAAGATCAATGAATCTTTTATCTTTACTCTTTATTATAAGGGACAGTAAAGATAAAGAGTCGCCCTTAACCAACACCAAAACTTTCGGATCTGAGGACTTGGAGTTTGGCTTAGTATTGAGTGTTGTCGTCTATCTTGAATTGGATACTTTTTATTGTAATAAAGCTGTCCAATTTTATTAAGAAGCTTCGCGTTATAGTACTAGACAAGAGTAATTAACATTAGGCTGCGACTAACTAGTAACTTTCAACTAGGGTGAAGTCGAGGGAGAAACAGCAAACATTAAAAGCTGCAGTTCAAAGACTTCAAAAGATTTCTTAAGACTTCGTAGAATTTCAGGAGACTTCAAAGACTTCAGTGGAGTTCAAGACTGAGGTCTCTGCTATTTTCTCTTCAGATTGATTATTTATTTCAATCGAATTGATTATCATATCACTCGATTAATTTTTGTCAATTATTAATATTGATAAAATGTGCTATAAGAGCCACTTTATTTTTTAAAATTAACGGTAGAATGGATCTTTAGTTATTAATAATTTATTTACTAAAATTAGATGATTAAATGGTTGTAGTTCATTTAATAGAATTTTCTTTTGATTTTTTGATAAGGAGCCACTCATTAAGGAGGAAAAGATAACGGGGGAAAGGAGAAGTCCTTCAAAACTGGACAAATCCGGACAGAGGAAAGGGGGACAGACGCTTCCTATAAATATTTTCCTTTTTTTCACGCAACTTTTCACGAAATTTTTAAGCTTAGCTTATAGAGTAGTATTTAATAGGAAATGAACTGAATCCATAAGTTGAATATCAATATGGTGTTGAAATAATTGAAGACTATGCTATATGGCCTAGCTAATGATTTTATACAGCAGTAATATGAACGTTATTAGATTTTCGAGTGCCATTGGTATTGAACTTCATTTTTTGTTTTTTTGGTTTTTATATTTATATTGTTTTCTGCTAAGTAAAATCGAATGTATTTAAAAAACAAAAACTTCACAAGAGGTTAGATTTGTGTTGGTTGTTTATCGAATATGTGTTTTTTTTCTTTTCATGTGAAGGATATGGGCGAAGATTAAGGCAAGACAGACTCACAACCATATTCTTTTTCTGAAAGTTTTTTCTTATACTAAACGTTCAAGAGGGAGGAGGAGGTCGATGAAATTGGACAGGATGGGAGGGGTCAAAAATTGCGATTTGTACCTGGCTGTTCTTAATGGATGATCCGTCAAAGAACAGCTATTCCACGAAAGACTGATATTCTATACAATTAAAGTAAGGTTTTCAGAATCGAGAAAGTTGAATCTATAATTGTTTTCTCGACATTTTTCTATTAGAAGAAGCATATTTCGCGAAAAACAAAAACTTGCTCTTTGTTTAAAAGTTTTCTAAAATGATTTAAAATTGATCGTCGCACGCTGAAAATTTCGAGAAATCATTTATTAACGCAGATTTCTCGACCTCAATCACCTTTAGTCAGTTTTGACGTGCACTCCAACTTGTTTGACATAGTTGTAAAGTATTTAATACAATTTTTTTTTTGATTTGCATTACCTAATTTCTCAATGCTTTATTGATTTGCGATGTTGCTCATCATGTTTGTTTAATATCAACTTTACGAAAGACACAATAATATGTTTCAGCTTATGAAAAATATCACCATTCATTATTGTAATCATCTGCTATACGTATGTATGCTTCAATATCATGTCATTTTGTTTTTCTTGTTTGGAATGAGTTCCATTCTATTTCTTTTTGAAATATTGGAGTACATTTCAAAATTATATTAAAACATGTATAATCTCGATAGGAGGGCTCATCAGCCTTGCTTTTTCTCAGTGTCATCGAATTTTAATTGTATCCGAAAGAGGTATATCAGTCTGAAGTGAGAGTCAAGGATATTTTCTTTTCTTATGCAGTTTCAAAGTTATCTAAGAGTTTAAATAATAACTATGTTATTCAAATCAAATGACTTTTTTCAGCTACATACCAACTGTGACACAGCTATATCTCATTAATTTAGTTTGTTCATGAAACATTGCGAATTCATTATGACATGAAATGCCATATACCGGATGATCCAAAAGTTTTGCAACATTTTGTCTATTCCATGTATCTGAGTACAGAAAAAAGGTAAAATCTTGAATTTAATTTTAAAAGATGTGCTTTTCAGTTCTCTACAAACTGGTATTTAGTTTAATTTAAAATAATAGAACTGAACGTTTTTATGGGTCAAATAGTGTGATGGTATGAGTTGCATTTATTTCCCACACATTCTTTTATTGAATTATTTTTTTCTATACGAACGGATGTTTTGTTTTAGAAATAAGTAATTGTCAGATAGCTCTTGCAAGCTTCGGTCGATTGAGTATATATTTAACATTCATTCTTTCTATTAGACGGAATTTTTCTCAAAGCAATATTTTGCGAATCGTCAAATTCCCTATCCACCATTTCTTGCCAGAAAAACACGCCTGAAAAGACGCACCCTGTGATCAAACCGAGCTCGCTTTTACAAAGCGCTATCACAGACAGACTTCTCTTTCTACTTAAAGTTAGAAAAACATTTAGTAAAAGAAGTCAATTGAAAGAAGATTCTGGAAGTTACTAAGAATGTTACTTTTACGGTAGCATATCTGGCAGGCCATTTTAATTAGGTCTAAATAGATTCTAATCGAACGTAGATGAATTATTCTAAAAGAGGATTGATATGTAATAACATTGTTAATAATTAGTTTTTTTAGGCATCTGTTTATAACACGAGAAAGTTAAAAAATGTGTCATTAGAAATGGTGCGGGAAGTTGATGCAATTCATACCATCACATTATTTGACCCATAAAAACGTTCAGTTCTATTATTTTAAATTAAGCTAAATACCAGTTTGTAGAGAATTGAAAAGTACATCTTTCAAAATTAAATTCAAGATTTTATCTTTTGTCTCTATTGAGATATATGCAAAAGACAAAATGTTGCAAAACTTTTGGATCACCCGGTATTCACATCTAAATCGAGTCAATCTCTTAACCCTTTCAATCCCGCATGTCATCTACGAGATGCCATGCATATCGTAATATAGAAATTTTGCGTTCTGTCGTCTCCCTATGGGTTGGCAAGAAAGTGTTGCGTCTTTTTTTATTATCTTAACACATTGCTGTAACTTTTTTATTTGATAAGCTATCGACTTGATTTAAGTGCCAATGGAAAGAATATTGTCTCGTGAGTAGTTATTTTATTCTTTTGGTTGGGTTTCATACTATTCCTATTACAATTTGTGATGTAATGCCTATGATGTCATATGATTATGAGGCCACGTGACTACTACTTGTTCAGTGTTGGAGTACATTCTGGAACTTTCTATGGTTTCTATTCCTCTTTCGTGGATGGGTTCTTGCGTAATGTGCTGGAATGTTCTATTTTCAACACTATATATAGACTGTCCGCTGTTACCCGTTCATTCTTTTCTCGGTTGTACAGTCAGATCGTTAGTTTCCACATGTGAATAAACAAGCTCCTCAACTCGTGATTTCTGTTTGACATCGGACTCGGCCTGAAGACATGACACCATTTACTTTGAATTATATTATTAATTGAGGTTGTTTTGTTCTGTTGAAAAATAAATTTTGTTGTCTAGTAAAAAAAAAAGACGCAAAACTTTCTTGCCAACTCAATACATGATATATATCATATGTGCGTTAAAAGAAACGCGTGTATTCTTCGCTGCGAAAATACTTTTTTTCACATTGAACTAGTGTAGCTAGAATTCGTGTGCAGCTAATTATCTAAAGGAGTACACAAGGGAGAGAAGAATCTAGATTTTCTTCAACTGTGTATAGAACGAGAGAAAATGTCCGGATTGAAAAGGTTAAAAAAATCTAACATCTCGTTCTAGAAAAAAAACGTCTAGGTTTATGCAAGTTAAAATTATCAATTTCGATCATGGTTATTAAAACTTGCGTCAAAATAATAAGAAAATTATCAAACAACTATCATTAGCATTCGTTAGTGACAGATAATTTTATGTAAAATACTTTGATCACCAACCATTCCATAATGTGGCCTTTAATTAGAAAATATATCTTTGTTCTCATTATACTACCCTTACTATCATTACGATGATATACGCCAAAGACTTTTCTAAGGACTGACATTTTGATAAATTACTTCCGACAGTTGACATTTTAATAGTAGAGATTTTTTTTCTTATAGATGGATAGTGTAACAATAGATATATTACTGTTCAATGATACAAACACGACATGTTCACAACCTCTTTTATGGACTCAAACTGTTATTGACAATAAAAAATCTCAACTTTATGCATGTATTATTGCTTTAGTTATTCATTTAATACTTTGGCTTCAAATTATTTTGTGTTCATCTCTTCGAAAAAAATCACTTCTATGGATCTACTCTTATCTTATCACTGATATTCTTCTTCTTCTGCGCTTTTTGTTTAGTTATATTGTTCATATAACATTTACGGAATGTGAACCAAGTAGAGCATGGATTTTATTGATTTGCTATTTTGAAGCAGTACTTGATAATTATCTCAATATAACTGAAGTATATATTCTATTAGCTTTGAATATATGTCGATATGTACAAATAGTATACAATCGAAATGTATACCAAGTCCATATGAAACTATTAATTTTGACTAAATTTTGTATCTCTTTAATACCATTAATTATTTTTATTGTTGAATTTCTTTTTGGTTGGGCTCAAATCAAAGAACGTATTAGAGATAGTTGTGACGTACTTTATATGAATATCTATATTCAAGTATTTAATATAACTTTTGGATATGCATTACCAATGTTTTTGAACGTGCTAGTAATTTACGCTGGTATTCGTCATGTTAATTTAACATCAACTTTACGACGAACACAACATCATGTTTCAGCTCGTGAAAAATATCATCATTCATTAGTCATTCAATTTCTTTGTTTTTATCTTATTTGGGGTGGACTTTGGTCGCCGTATACTATTATTTCTCAAGTGTCATTTAGTAAGCAGAATGTGACAAATACTGTTGCGCTGCTTAATTTGATTCAAATAGCATTCGACCCAATAATTATTGCAGCTTTAGATGTTCGTTTTTGGCATGAATGGCAAAAAGTCTGGGTTCGTGTAAAAAATACTATATACTTCAATCGACCCAATCGTAGACAAATTCAACCATTAACAATGAATCTCAATCGAATTCAAGTTAAAGCTCCTTAACTAAAAAAACCAAATGCTTTTTTAAACACAAAAAAATGCGTAAAACTTTATTTTCTCTGAAAAAACCAAAATTGTTATCTCATACAAAATCATCAGTCTATAAATAGACTTTCGGGGCAATAACTACATTAATTGTTGGTTTTCTCTCTGTAGGTTGCCGTAAATTTGAAATATAGAATAAAAAATATATGCTTTTTTTGTTCAATGAAACAAGTTTATATACTAAATTAACAAATGAAAAAGAAAAGCATAAGTCCAACTTTATAATTCATTCATGGATGAGTCTATTATTTTCATATCTATCAACATATTATAAGAACTATACTAATGCAGAAAGAAAGTTGATTTGACATGATTCATTAAGCTCTTAGTGACGGAATAACATGAAAATATATGAAGTAGTATCCTTGAACTGAAAGGTATCGTCGGTAAAGAAATGACAAAACCCATCGTTTTTTTTCAAAAATACTTTCTCCCTCTAAAAAGTAATTGCATTCACTTTTCTTCTATATGTGCGGTTTTCATTTTAATAATATAAAAGTAGCCGAGTAAAATAAATTCTTTATAACCGTTTACCTTGAAATATTCACTAGAGTGGACACAGCCAGAAACAGTATTGAAAAAACTTGAACTATATTACCTACAATCGACTCTATCTCACTTGTAGAAAACTTAATGGGCTATCGATTGCTAAAAAACTACTCGTCTCTGAAAAGTATGACTTATAAACACAATAAGTTTAGAAAAATGAAATTTTTCTTAGAAGTGTTTTCTATCTATAATCAAAATAGATGTCGGAAGCAATTTCTATGATATACGTAGGGTATTCAAAAAGTTTTCAGACTGATTTTATGCAAAATTAACAAAAGACATTACAAGTATTGATATATGTACTCTTTCTTGAAATATCATCTCTCTGTTAAAATACACTTTTGTCAATGCTCTAGAACTTTTTGTATAACTACTGTAAATTCATCTTCAGACACACTGTTCAGACATTGATGTATTGATGAAGCTAATGAATCTTGATCACTGTAGTATCTTCCATTGACATAGTCTTATAAAACAAGAAATAGAAAATAATCACTAAAGGCCAGATCTGAAGAAGGTGGGTGTGGGTGTGGGGTGTGTGTAAGAGTTTTCTTTTAATCAATCCTTACATCGAGACCCCTATCTTTTCGTATGTACATCAGTTTTCATTATAGTTCGTAGTTCGTTTGTTGACATTATTTTTCGAACAAGTTTTATCGTTAATTTTCAATATTCTAAAAGTATCATTTTTCGATACTCCTCGCCATTTAGTTTTCTTGTTAACTCTACGCAGATTAGCCATGAATCATCACTAATATCTTTCAACTGTATATTGGAATAAAAAAAACAAGAAAATATATTAAAATATTTTTGAAACTTATCGAACTATAGTCTGTTTAAAAAAGAAAGTAGCCGTGGCCATTTTTCGAATAACTTGACAACAGAGAGTGTGGATATGGGTGGATGCGTGTGTGGAGTCTAAGTATTTGTAGATGTGATGTGGGTTTCAGGGTGAGGATGTAGATGTGGATGTAGAGATGAATCTGTCTAACACCCACATTCACGTTGACACTAACCAACATCCATCCACACCCACGCCCAAAACATATGTGAGTTTCACATTTCAACTCCAAAGGGACTGCACTAACAAGCTGTTTTTAGACTAGCTTTTGCTATTGGACAAAGTCAAAAATAAATTCTAGTTTACGATAAATCTACAAGCAGTAGTCGATTAAAAAACTTCTTTTGCTTGATTCAGCTATCAATTGTAAATGTTTCGTCGAAGAAGAGTATCATTTAATCCTTGTTTTAGAAGTTTATATTTTTATTTCGATGTCACAGCAATCCAATCCATACTACATGTTTGTCTACAGCCTAATTTTTGCAACATCTTATATGATGCTTCATTATCACATATCACGAACGAGAATACATAATCTTGAAACTTAAATAATTCTGACGCTAAGTATACATTCACTATAGTTGAAAGACCGAGTCGACAAAACTCAGGTATTGTAAACGCCATTCCAAACGAACCGTCGAATTGTGTCAGAGACCAACTGACTAATTGTCCAGCATGGTATGCACCTTTAAAAAGAAGCTACCAATTTGCCAATTTCGTTTTTTCCTCTATATCACGATGTAAAACTTACCAAACGTCGGTAAATGTTCGATTTGATACAAAATACAGCCAAGCGAGAATGGCGATTTATATTCCCAAAGGTCATCGACCAATTTCGCATCGGCTATTGACAAACGTTGAATGAGAACGTCTAAAAAAGTGACATTTAATATTTGAAGTTGTTCTAATGATGTTGTCACTAACAAATGAGAAGTAAAAGTCAAAAACTTCATTTAGAAATCTGAATTTCACGTTCGAACAAAAACGGATTTTAAATTTTCTTATTGAAAATGTCAAGAAAAAAATATTTTTCAAAGAGATCAGAAGAATGGTTTTCCTATACAAATCACTGAGTAGCAGCTGAAGAGTAAGACCTAATTGAAAGAGTCATCTTCAACAAGTTTTCATTTTTAAGAAGCTAAACTAAGATGACATGAAATCGTTACAGTTGAAAATGATTTGAATAATTTCTATTTTTTGAAAGAACAATACAATAGATTCGTACTTGGTGGACAACTTTGCATAATTAACTCTTTCTTCTGCTCTAAAGTTGCCTGGTCGATTTCGATTTGAAAACAAAAATCCATTTGTAAATCGCCGAATTTTTTCTCCCGGACGAGCCTTTCAATAATTGCAGACGATCGATGGGGGATGGCGCAGAACAATATTGTTTCTACTTTCAGCCAGGGTACACACAACTCAAGCATATTAGTAAGTAATTGATCATGATTACTATTGCAAAAGACTGTTACATGTCTTTCAGTCATTTCTTTCTTCTCATCTAATGGTGAAGAATTTAACGCAAAGCCAGTGGGCAGATATACGAGTACTACACATCTTATTCGATCAGGATCGTCAACAAATAATTCATGGGGCCAAACGTTTTCTTTGATGATTAAACCTTGTTGAAAATAACTAAGTAACTGCCACAGTTGAAGTGATTCTGGAAAATGTGGCTTCTTTAATAACAATGTTGCTTTTATTTCTGTATGGTAATAGAAATCAAAAGGTTTACGAGAAATATTAGCACTGGTTGAAGCGATTCTTTGTTTGAAATATCGACTTGGATTGCCATTGCTGAAATCATGTTCCCGACTAAAAGAAACGGTTTGCTACATAATAATTCCTTAGTTTTTGCGAGCTTACATGTAAAAGTTGATGGTGACGTAGGTATCGATGTCTATCGAAAAAAAAACATTCACATAAAATCCTATGTCATTTTTTATGTCTAAATAGTGTTCTTATTCGCTTATAAATTCAACTATTTCTAAGACCATTGGAGTAATTGCTATAAGGGTAACAGAAATTTATTTGATTTTTATTCGCTATCTTCCATTATAAAAGTTATTTTGAACTATGCAGTTTAGTTTCTCCTGTGATAGAAATTAGATGCTCGTTATTTTCCAGTAGATCAGTGGGTCAGAGCCATCTATCTTCAAAAATGTCGAATGATAGAACAATAGACACCTCTTCTTCCAAATCACTTCATAGTGCTCGAGCATTAAAACTATTGCAAAGTCCAATGGCGACGAAACTCTAGCTGAATAACAGTCGGGTAGGAGTCATCCATGAATATACAAAATAAAAATTATTGTATTGATAATAGCATTCCGGTACACATCATGGTCTGATCTTGATATTTTGACTATTTTTTATCGTATCAGTTTACTAAGCAATATTCATGAATAATGATATTTATGAAGTTAGCTGTCTCTAATGGAAAATTTTGTACGATTCAATTTTGATTATGATTGAGTGAAAATGCGAATCTGAATACTATTCGAAGATGATTGTGTGAAAAAATAGCCAAGTTTTCTATCCTTCTATATTGAATTCTGTTCGATAGTGCATGAATTCAGGTGTCTACGTAGGATCAGTTATGACTTTGTAATGTCTTCTGTATTCAATATTTCCTGGATCATATCATTTGAAAAGCTTTTGACCAAAAAAGCAACAGAAATTTAGATTGAAGTATGATGGATTTTTGTTCCCGAAGCGAACTGATACAAAGCTGAATTTCTAAACATCAACATGCGGGTTATATGAAAAACATTCACAAATTTCTTTTCTCGTCACACAGTAAGGTATGAAACACCAAGTCTTCTGATGTATTCCACCATGGATTGTGTTTTCACAATGGATTAACTGTCCAACTGGCAATATCTTATTAGTTGAAGATCTCATATGAAGAAGTGAATTCCAAATAAATGATCTTTCTATATACTAAGAAACTACGATGTATCAAGATGTTAAGTTTCAGACTGATATGCATGTTGATAAGGACTGGCATATTGTATGTTAGAGTTGTTCTAGAGTTTATCAGCTTGGCTAGAAGTTAACTTATCTTATGTTTGCCGATGGTACTTGGTACTAGATGTCTTAGTATTGTAGGCTCACTGGCAGCAGCGAAATATATACTAATCTTTTACTTTAGGATGTCCGAGGCGCGTACCATTCCTAGAAAGTCGCTTCAACAAAATTTAAGCATGAGATATAGAATTGACTCCGTATTATTCGCAAAGTACTTGATGGCTTCTCGGTTGGTAACGAGAAAAAGATTCATTTTTATAGAGTTTTATTTGAAGTTACTTAAAATAAAATGTGTTAAACTTTTAATCATTGATTGTTGTTTTTCTAAATGTTTACATCAGTCATGACTTTGAATTCTTTCTGATATTAGAGTTGAAATCTATAGACTAGATTTTCATGACTTGTGAAATGTACTTCATCAAAATTATTAATGAGTTTTGAGATTAGAATATTTATCTGTATTTGTGGAATTAGGAGAGAACGACATGAAAATGGTTGTTCTATTTATTAATGTAAATGAAAACAATGAATATTTTTTGAATATTCATTTCTATTTTTGCAAATGAGAATAGATATTAAACGATATCATGTATATTTAACTTGATTGCTTTCGAACTTTTAAGATGAAGAAGTTCTATATAAAAAAAAAAAATTATACAAGACTGATGGCAATTATAGTAAGGATCATATACTTTATAATACTCTACGTTGATAATGCAACGACCAAACTAGAGGAACAAAGCTCTAATTAAAATATAACAAAAGTAAGTGGTACGAATTATAACATTCTGACTGATGTTGTAATGAGGGTGTGGGTGTGGGTGTGGGTGTGGGTGTGGGTGTGGGTGTGGGTGTGGGTGTGGTGGGTGTGGGTGTGGGTGGGTGTGGGCGTTGGTGTGGGGTGTGGGTGTGGGTGTATGTGTAGATGTCAGTGAATGATAGAACTACTATCCACACCTACACCCCAGCCACCCACCCACACCCCACATCCACCCATACCTACACCCACCACCCACAACCTTTGAGCTCAAAAGCTTTTTAGTACTTCAGGGATTTGATCATAACAGAATAAGTATCAGGTTATAGGTGTAATGATACACTCTTAAGGGCATAGTCATAGGAGTATGCGTATAAGGATATAGGTTTGAGGATATAGGTGTAAGGACATAGATATACACGTATAGGTACAAGAATATAAGTATATGGGTATAGATATAACGATATAGTCATAATGGTATAGGCAAGTTGAAGGAAGTTCAAAATTTAAGCAGAAATTTATCGTTTTTCGTTTTATGTGTAGAGAGCTCAACGAGGTACATAGGAAAAGTACCATGTTAGAGATTTGAAAGTTGGTTTTCGCTGAACAAAATCCAAAATAACGAGTTTTTCAAAAGCATACCAAATGAATGATGTTTTAAATATAATGCCGAATTCTCGTGTTTATTGATGTGTCGAATTCCAAAAGTAATCTTTTGGAATTCTGCATGTAAAACTGTATATAAAACACTAGATCATCCGTTCTTATGATCTAAAATGAACGGTGTTCCCTCGAAACACGAGTAGAACCCTGATAAAATGCCTTCTGTGTGCATTGACAGCTTATCAAATACTTTTGCATAAATGATGAAAAGCTTTCTTTTAGTGGATCACACTTAGTACACCAATGAAAAAAAGGTGCGTGCCTGTTTAAAATAATAATGATACATTGCTTGAAAAATCATGTTTTTTATATCAGTGGTACGATGATTAAGAATGAGCTCATGTTTGGACATTTTGATCATCAAAATTTTGCTTTCAAATAAAATGTATGCGATATTTGAAATCAGCATAAAAAGCTGAATCGAATAACATAGATCTTATTACAAAATATTTTTTATCGAAATTTGATCCCTTCTTCTATGGCTGCTTATTCGACGTGATTTACTCGGAGTTCCCGCTCGGATCGAATTTCGATGAAAAATATTTTGTAATAAGATCCATGTTATTCGATTCAGCTTTTTATGCTCGTTTCGAATATCGCATACATTTTATTTGAAAGCAAAATTTTGATGATCAAAATGTCCAAACATGAGCTCATCTTAATTATTTTGAATTTTCTCCAGCAAAAACCAACTTTCAAACGCGTAACGTAGTATTTTTCCTAGGTAATTCGATGAGTTCCATTCACATAAAACAAAGACAACAAAGATAAATTTCTGCTTTAATTTTGAATTAGCTCCACCTAACATGGTTAAAGATATAACTGTAAAGGTATAAGGATATAGCCATATGAGTATAGCCATAAGGATATAGGTGCCAGCATTCCGATCTAGTTTGTAGGATATAGTCATTACAATGTAGCAACAACATAGGTGGATTTTGTAAGAATTGCTGTGAATTTTAATCGATTCTGAATCGATTGATAATCGATTATAATCATACACCTGTAACTGGTTATTAATCGACTAGATATCGATTAAAAACAACCTTAATATATTTTAAACGAGCAATATAGTAGAATAACTGCTTCTGCTATTATAATCGATTATGGCTAATTATAATCGGTTTTCAATCGATGACAAATTGGTTCCTAATCGATTCGTCGTCGATTAAAGAGGTATGATTATAATCGATTTTTAATCGAATTGTAATCAATTTTAATCGGATTTTTGCCGTTTTTCTTTACATGGGATGGATACTGCTGCCTTAGTGTTGTTCATTTAGACTTCCGTTGCATACTATTGAATGCGTCTCCGTTTCGTTCGATGAATTTATATGAAAACATATCACAGACACACGCATGTCACTGTACACAAGGACATTGATACGAATGTCAATATTCGCATTCATATGCGCCCTGTTCAAACTTTCGATACTAGCTGTGTTGAGGACTGCGAAGCAGTATCCGACACTGAAGCAGCTGATTATTCAGTTGAGGGTCAAGCGAGTCACGTAGACGAGCGTTACTTGTAATAAAAAGATATACACGAAAGTTGGAAAGAATAACGATAAGATAAGTGAAATTGTTGCACTTATCTCTTTTTTTCAGCTGAAGCTAAGGAGAATTTATCATCGAGTATCAACGAAAAAAAAGCCCACATTTCATGTCGCAGAAAATCTAGAAAACAAAAACACCAGATACTGACTGTATAAATAGAAAAGGCGACCCCTGTATAACTAACTAGCAATTATTCATCGTTTTAAATTGAATAACAACATTTCATATACGATTCAAGCGAATACAATCCTAACAACATATCCCAATTCGTTATGTGCGCCGCTGCGACTGCAAGATCTTCATCTATTGCCAGCCGGCCAAGCCGAGGTCGACTTCAAAATTATTTACTGATATGGGTCGATGGTAAAATCGATGAAAACAACGAAGATTGCGCAAACACGCTGGAGAAATTGCGCAGTGTCGTCAGAGAAGTCAATCTCTGTACGACTTCAGCGCAATGTATTCAATTTCTGAATGATATGGATAACGAAAAAGCGTTCGTTATCTCGTCTGGAGCTTTAGGACAGCACCTCATACCGCAGATTCATAATTTGTCACAAGTGGACGCAATTTATATCTTTTGTGGTAATAAAACAAAACATGAAGCATGGGCAAAAGAATGGGCAAAGATTGAAGGTGTTTTCACCTCAATCAAGCCCATATGTGAATCGTTAAAGAAGGTCACTCGTGAATGTGACCATGATGCCATTCCCATGAGCTTCGTTCCGAAGCAAACGACGGCAGCTACATCAAGTCAAGAAAATCTAGACCAATTAGAACCATCATTTATGTACTCGGTGTTATTCAAAGAGATTATATTGGAAATCAATGAAGACGACGCGAAGCCGTTGAACAATCTAGTCGTCTACTGTCGTAGCAAAGGTATTTCGGAGAAACAATTAAAGGACTTTCAGAGTACATACCACCAGAAAACGCCAGTCTGGTGGTATACATGCGAAATTTTTCTATATGGCATGCTGAATTATGCCCTACGAACACTGGACATGGAAACCATGACAAAAATGGGTTTTTTCATCCGAAACCTTCATCATCAGCTGGAACAACTGCACAAAGAACAAGCAAAGACTTTTATGGAAAAATTTATTGTTTATCGTGGCCAGGGGCTCATTGAACAAGATTTTCAACATCTAATGGACACGAAAGGTGGACTGCTCTCATTTAACAATTTTTTGTCAACTAGTACAAAACAAAAGATCGCTATGGAATTTGTGGAACGTACAATGCAGAAAAATAAAGACATCGTGGGTGTTCTTTTCATCATGACAATTGATCCAAATACAATATCGGCGACGACTACTCCATTTGCACTTATCGACGAATACAGTGCTATTGAAACTGAAAAAGAAATCTTATTTTCAATGCATACTGTTTTTCGTGTCGACGACATCAAACAATCAGTTAGCAATAGTCGTCTGTGGGAAGTTCAATTGAGTCTCACCGGCGATAATGATCCAGAATTGGCTGCTCTTACTAACCACATACAAAAGGATCTCCGTGGATCCACCGGATGGCATCGAATGGGTAAGCTGATGCTTCGGGTGGGCCACTACAATCAAGCTGAAGAACTCTACAATGAATTACTCAAAAACGCTTCCAGTGAGAGCGAAAGAGCACTTATTTATTATCAGCTTGGATGGTTGAAACACAACCAAGGACAATACAAAGAAGCAGTTGCGTTTTATGAAAAATCACTGAAGATCGAGAGAAAAAGTCTTCCGGAAGATCATTCTTCATTGGCTCCTATCTACACTGGCATTGGTCTTGCGTATAACAACATGGGTGATTACCCGAAAGCGCTTGAATTTTACGAAAAAGCACATAAAATCTACGAAAAAGCTCTGCCTCCAAATCATCCCAATTTGGCTATTTCCTACAACAACATCGGTACGGTGTATAAGAACATGGGTGACTACTCTAAAGCACTTGAACTTTACGAAAAATCACTTAAAATAAGAGAAAAAGCTCTGCCTCCGAACCATCCCGAATTGGCTAGTTCCTACAACAACATCGGTCAAGTGTATAAGAACATGGGTGACTACTTGAAAGCACTTGTATTTTACGAAAAAGCACATAAAATCTTCGAAAAAGCTCTGCCTCCGAATCATCCCAATTTGGCTACTTCCTACAACAACATCGGTGCGGTGTATAAGAACATGGGTGACTACTCTAAAGCACTTGAACTTTACGAAAAATCACTTAAAATAAGAGAAAAAGCTCTGCCTCCGAATCATCCCGAATTGGCTAGTTCCTACAACAACATCGGTCAAGTGTATAAGAACATGGGTGACTACTCGAAAGCACTTATATTTTACGAAAAAGCACATCAAATCTTCGAAAAAGCTCTGCCTCCGAATCATCCCAATTTGGCTACTTCCTACAACAACATCGGTGCGGTGTATAACAACATGGGTGACTACTCTAAAGCACTTGAATTTTACGAGAAATCACTTAAAATAAGAGAAAAAGCTCTGCCTCCGAATCATCCCGATTTGGCTACTTCCTACAACAACATCGGTCTAGTGTATAACAACATGGGTGACTACTCGAAAGCGCTTGAATTTTACGAAAAAGCACATAAAATCTACGAAAAAGCTCTGCCTTCGAATCATCCCCATTTGGCTATATCGTACTGGCACTTCGGCTCGATAAATGAGAAGATGCATAAATATTCGGAGGCACTTTCATTTTTAGAAAAGACACTTTCTATCTTTAAAAAATCACTTCCATCTAGCCATCCTCATATTCAATCCGTGAGAAACGCGATTGACAATGTAAAAAAGAAAATGTAACTGTAATTTTTTCTTTTTGGCTTGCTCAATAAATTTATTCACATTGCTATTCATTTCGATTTTTCTTGGCTCACTGTGACTTACGCGCGCGCGACAAGGGAGAGATCCCTTGTCAATGCCATAGGTACCACAGGCGGACCACGCCGGACTGGTAGGGCAATGGCCGAAGGTATGCCGTATTAACACGGTAGGGACCAACGACTCATAGAGGCCTTCCCTAGTATTACACTGCTTCGCTATGGCACGAAAGTTCCTGTCCCTATTGAATCAGACAACGTAACTATCTGACCCATACTAATAACATTCATAACTCAACTCATCTCATCTCAAAAGTACTTATACTCATAATAACTGACAATATTTATTTTTTCTCGAAACAAATTATCTCAACTCAACTCAACTCAACATGTAAAAAGAAATTTTTTTCCTACCTCCCAATGTTGTATTGTATCGTAGCTTATCTAAAAAAAAAAGTATTGTTAAATATAAGGACAAATAATTTACCTTATTTAAAATATAATGATATCATTATCATTGTAAATAATATAATAATAATAATAATAATAATAAATAATGTACCCGGGTATATAATTACATTGTAATGCATCATATTGAGAAAACGCGAATGTACTGTTTTATGATGATACATCCATGTTTTTATATACACTATGGTTCATTGTTTAATATTCAACGGTTTTGATTGATTTTTCATCAATCACATCACACACGTGAATTGATGCTTCTTCGTGTGTTTTAATTGATTTGACCATCAATCTTTATGTAGTGATATATGTATGTTTTTTTAATTTTTTTTTAACATCTGACGGACATCAATATCATGTCGTCGTCGTCGTAGTCGAAAAAAAAATATTCGTCTTATGTGTATATCTAGAGAGTGAGTTGAAAAAAATAATAACATTCACTGCCACACCCACACCCTTCATCACCATCTTCTGAAATAAAAATCTTCGAATATTTCATCACAAACAACATGAATTCGATCTACTCTGTTTCATAGTTTCTATTAAGTAAAAAATTAATACTAAAAAAAAATATGTTGACATGAATGAAAGTGATTTTCAAGGTGCTGTACTCGATTCATTTGTTCAATTATTTTTAATTCACATTAATTGTAGTATACTAAACACTGATAAAATTTCTTGTATTTCTGATCTATCGCTTATTTTTGAATAGAATTTCTTACGAAATTTCTTATTATGTTGTCACAAAGCAAGTAAACATGACTTGAAACGTATGATAAGAAGAAAAGAAAAAAAATATTTTCAAGAAAAATAAATTATTGTTTGAATTCTTTTTTTTTTAGTTTTAGCAGTATTAGACTTAGTTGTATATGATATTATTGTTGATAGTATTCAACATGAAGGTGATTAATGGAATTGTATTTCACGACAAATTGTCCATGGACTTCTTATTCATTTACAATTACATGTTACTATGGCATCATCTAAGGTTAATTTTCTTTCTTTGATAATCTTAGATTTTACTTTACTTTTTAGGATCAATCACTTTTGAATATTTATTCTACACAATTAACAAATTTTATTGTTGTATCATTATTTGAATTACGATTAATTGATCCATTTATTGTTACATTTCGAGCATTAGCAAACAGAAAAGTTCGTTTTTTTTTTTATTCATGAAATTTTTCTAAAGTTTAAATTGTTTTTTAGAATATCAATCGTCCTTTCCGTTTAGTTTGGTCCATAATTGAATTTATCTTCTATGATAGTACCATTTATTTGAATTTAAAATTTCTATGGTTTTATAATATCTCTAATTTTATTTTAGCTAAACAATTCTAAATAATTTTCGTGAATTTTTAATTCATGATGAAACTATACATCATCTTGATACATTTTCATGTTAATAATTTTCTTGGCTTTATAGATCGTACATTAGCTGGAAATTATTTACTTATTCAATCAATATAAACTATTAGAAATAATTTATTAAAACCAAATACATTATTATTAACATCGTTAAAATTCTTCGTACACTTATATATATTTGTATTACCGGTAGTCGAATCAATTGTTTGTCTTCATATTGAAAAGATGGTAGGACTTGAAGAGCAATCATTAAATATACAATTAGTACCTAAATATTTACCATTAATTTTACAAATATTATTAACAACGAAAAACAAATAATATACACCAAATATTGATGCACAAATGCTTCAAAATGTAACTTATAGAAGTATATGTAATGAGTATTTTAATCTAACAAAAGAAAAAGTTTACCTTTCTTTGACATTGTTGTGATAAGAAATAAAAATGGCAGAATTCTACATGGTACAAATCGTAAAGAAAAGCATTTCAACTACATTAGTACAATAACGAAACTTATCGATAAAATTTTGAATCATGCTATTTGTATTGTTACAGCTAAAAAAACGATATGTTTTAAGCTTATGAAAAAGAAAATAATCATAAATAGTTTTAAAGACATCTCGTAAGATATTTTCTATTGTGTCATCTATTCGAAACTCAAAATAACGGTTTCAACTTTATGAAACATTCTTCAAAACAAATATTATCAATTGATGACTAACGATACAACAGGAATATTGATCTCATATTCAGTTTGACATTTTTGATCGAAAGAGATCTTGAAACTAAGTTATTTTCTTGCAATAGTCTCTATGGCCAAAAAAGGTCAAAATAAATTCATGACTATCATATTCCATCATAAATTCATTAGATAATATGTCCCATTTATATATCAATTTTCAACAGTTATGTCGAAAATTATTTGTATAAATGTATTTCGAAAAAGAATGAATTCTTAGTTGAAATTGAAATGAAAGGGTTATTTCGAGGTTTGACAAAACAACACATAATCTAAACATCAATTATATATAAATTACTTACGAGCCAAGATCCTCAACTGATCAATCGCTTTTGCATTGAGACAATGTGCAATATATAGGTGCAAAGAAACTATGAATATCTTGAAAAAAGTTCGGACTGATAGCTTGTTCGTACGAAGATATTGCATTTTTACGGTATGTTTTTAAACGAATGCCGTGTTCCCTCTCAGGAGCATCAGAAAAAGTGATTTTCGAATTTCGACTTGGAACTTTATGTAGAAACAGAACTTATCGAGAATAGTATTCTATAAATATTTCAGATCTTTCGATTAGTTCCTCTCTTGAAAGGCGAGCATCAAATCTTCTGGTTTATCCGAATGAAGTTATCATATCTGTAAGTATGGATAGCAAAAGCAAACAAGTCTGAAGGGTGGATGTGTGTGGGTATTCTATTTTCTAGCTACACCCACACCCTATTTTTTATGTATTGATGTAATATTAACCAATTTGATATCGATGAGTTGATTAGTTTTTGTAGAAATATTTCTGATAAATAATTAAAATAGATTTAAATTGATAACCAACCTTTAAGATTTATTTAGTTAAAATAGAATAAAAATTTAATGTTGAAATGTTTCCATCGAAATTAATTGAATTTTTATGTCGAGATTTAGTTAAACTATATTCAACTATTTAATATTTGCTTTTATCAATTCCAATTATCCGGAAAAAATCTTATAAATTTTTATAACTGATGAAGTTGTAAACTAGAAACGAAACGTCACAGCATTTTAAACAAAAATAAATAAAAAACTAATACTTAGTCAAATGAAAATTATTTAAATAATCAGAAAGGTAGCCTATAAATGTCAACAAACATATTGTGAATGTACCATTCCAGAATGGGTTTTTCTCTGGATTCAGATGAAGAAATTTTCTCTTACAGTTCTTAAGTGTTTTTCCCAAAACTTGGTTTGTCAGCAACAAATTGAAACAAATTCTATCAGCTCGGAACAGAGCTAACTTTCATATTTAATTGCTTTGTTAGGCTTATATTGAATAACATGTCCATTAAAATGTTTGTAATAACTGAATAGAAGGAAATTTCAAAAATTTCGTCCGACAAAAAATTGCACACAGCAGCTAGTTTTAGTTTGAAAGCAGTCCAAACTCTGTACTCTTTATAACGATGGAGTTCTTTCAATTTTCTTCGACAGTAGGAAAACAAGCCAGAAATTCGATCTAATTAGGCATATCATGCTGAGATTTTTACTACAAGTCTTTTTCATTAGGACCGATTGTTCCTGAACATTTTGTTGAGAAATTAATACTGAGAGGATCTTAATATATTATTATAAAACAACGATAATATATAATCAGAATTCATTGTTATTATTAGTAAAACTTGACAATTATCATTTGAAATATTATTTAAATGTAGTAAAATTCATCAGTTTTTTCTTTCTAATTTCTTATAACTAAAACGTTTTGTTTATTGTTTATTAAGTCGGAAAAAGGTGAGAACTATTTATTTGGCTAATGATCTAATCTGACGTACTAACTGACCGATATGGAAACAAATTGAAAATTCCATAATTCAATATATTAGCTATCGCATTTTAATAAAATCGTTTAAATTTCATGAATAATTAAATTAATTGAGAATTCTATTTAGATTTCTCATTATTTATTTATTTTAAATTGAAAACATCATTTTGAGATCTTTAAGCTACAGCTTTTAATATAGCATCAGATACAAAGGAAATGGGATAAATGTTGACTCTTATGACTCAGCAATAGGGAATTGCTGAAAGAAAATCAATATTGGCAAGAAGATAGGAAACACTTTCATTATTCGAATTATATGTAAATTATTTTTGTTTTATATTCATAAACAAAGCAGTGTAACAACAAAATGAAGTCTCTTCAATAAAAATATTCTGAAAAGAGTATTTTTTCATCAGTGGATAAGAAACTTTCTCGTCAGTGCAATAGTATACAACTTGTATTTGTCAAAGAATCGTAAGGTAGATGAAACGAGAAATGAGAAAACATTAGTACAAGAAAATTTTGATCTCAAGTCAAAAAATCAAATGTACGATGAAATTAAATCGTACCAAAAGTCATATTCTCAAACTCTTATATCGAATGGTAACAGAAAATACCTGAAAGATCTTACTTTTCTGTAAGATAGTACAATACGATTATAAAAAAATCTTATGATATGATCAAACTTGACAATAATCTTCTAGAGCGAATCGATGTAAAATTTCTGAAACCAGGATTCTTTTTTGTACGATTTCATCTGATCTTCCAAGATCATATGTCTATTTTTTTAATTTGAGTAGACGACAATTAGTTTTGATAAATGATACTTTTATAAAATTGTTTTCATAAGTTTACAAAAAATCAAACTAACCACCATTTTCAAAAGATCTTTTCAATGAATCTCCAAAAATAGAATCAACCATCGTTTTACATCATGTCTTTGACGAGTTCGTATAAAAATTACATATTTATTGGCCAGATATTTCTTTTTCTTTTAGTCTCATTTTATTTCCGAATATCTTACATATTGTTCCCAAGAGGAATAATATCCTATTAACTGATTTAAAATATATCTTTCAAAACGTACTTATCACAAAGATATGGGATAAACATTTCGTGCTTCTTTTTGAATCTTACGAAAGGTGCAAATTTATTTTAACGGTACTTATCTTTTTTGTTATATTATTTAGGAACTTGTGATAAAAAGATATCACATTCAGTTTGAAAAAGAAACAATTCTATCTTCCAACAAAATTTCGATTAGAGAGAAATAATCGAAAATTAAAAATTTTTTATTGATGACAATCATAATGAATAAATTAATTTAGAAAAAAATAATGTTTGATGCTCATATTATGATTAAAAATTATTAAGAAATTATTGAAAATTTTCTTTTTCTTTATTATATCGAGTATTTATTTTATAACACAATTATGTTACAATAAATAATTTTATTCAAATTCGATTATCTAACAAATTGATTCAACTTTTTCATCTATTTAAATTTTTGCCAACATTATTAACCTATACTCGTGCAAGATATTTATATAGATTACTGATCAATTTCTATTTAGAAAATATTGAAAAGTGGTCAATACATGTTGCTTGTATTTTTATTAACACTTATAAATTGTTATGAGACAGATTATCTTTTTTTATGACATATTTTAGCGATTTATATGTTGAAATAAGACAAATCATAAACTTCCAATTTGACTCAAAATTAATAATAGAGATAAGTTTTATTCAAAAAAAGAAAAACCATATTGTTCGAATGGTGAAAAAAAAGAGTTTTACCTCGTTTATAATTCTCATAATTATTTATCGCTCTTATGATACACTTGTTATCAACCTATATTTAGATTTTGTTTTGATCAGTTTTCAATTAAAACCATTAATCATTTTCTTGAAAATTAGTGTAACTTTCAATTAGTATATATTTCAATAGACTTTTTTTTATATGTTTAGC